TTCACCTTTAGACAATAATTCTGATGGCAAAAGAGCCAAACGGGACAGGCAAAAAAAAAAAAGGAGCCAGCAAACTTTTCAAACTTTTTTCTCCTTTCTAGTTTTCCATCTATTGTAATTGAAGTCCATTAAATCGTAAAATTAGTTTAAGACCCAGCTTCTCTTTTTCATCAGTGTCCGGTCTTTAACCCCTTTCTCTCTCCCTCCTAATGAACGAGCGAGTTAAGCGTTGTTCTGCTGTACATTATGGAAACTCAGGAGAGTTTTCAGTGCGGCTGCAGAGCCTGCAATCTGTTCTAATGAGCCGAGTTTTCCCCTCCAGGGTGAAGCCCACACATAGTTTAACAAGGTAACACAGAACATTGAAAAGCATTTAGGACCAAACATCATCCGTTCAGGTCTTAATGAAGAATCCACAGACACCAGTGGCATTTTTTGTTTGTCCCGTTTTACAGCAGATGGATTAGAGTAAAAATCTTCTCACTGATTAGTTTTAGTGCAGATTAGTCTGCAATTAGAGTCGTGAATAAAAATGCAATCCACGGTTAAATGTGCTCATTGAGCTGCAAACTAAAAGATTTTAATGTTGATAATAAGCAGCTGCACTCAATAATAAAACAGTTTCATCTCAGGGGTTAAAAGTAAATGAGTTTTGGAGCTTTTCTTTAGTATTACGGGAATTTGATCACCTCTTACTGTGCTGCTTCACTCAGTTAGGAATCTTCCAAAGATCAAACTGATGCTCCATAATAAAAGTTGGTCCTTTCCAGTCGGTCTGAGTGAGCAAACAGGCAGCAACAGCCTCTGTGAAGTCGCTCTGCCCAGCGTTCACCACAGAGATTATACGTGCAGCACCACAAAGGAAACTAAACTAAGGAGCAAAATCTGTTTTCCTTCAGCTTCTGTGGAAGCTTGCATTCATTTCTCTTTGTAATGACTGAAATAAGAAGATGCTGAAGCACGGGGTAAAAATTGTTTGCTGAGTCACTTGAAACTGATCTAGATGCAGCATTTTATAGTTGTGCTGTGTAACATGATACTTATCGCTGTCCTCACAGCCAATCCTAGAATCAGAAAGCTCGTGAGAGTATGTCACAGGTACTGCTGTAGCTCCCTGGACGGAGCAGGCGACCAGTCTGCTGTAGGGCTAATGTAGAGGCTTGGGTTTGAACCCAGCCCAAAGTTATTTACTCTGTGCATTACTGCTGGTGTTTCTCCAGCTTTCCTGCTCTCTGTCCGCTAACATATTACAAATAAAGCTAAGAAGCCCAAAATATTTCTTTAAAAAAGGACTACCAGTTCAGTTTTACACGGGTAACCTGGTTTTGCTGTGACACAGACAGGAGGGGCCGTCATCTCGGGTTGGAACAACCTACTTTAAGCTCAGAGTTTAGCTTTGACAAATGAGAGTCTCATAAACAGGTGCGTTTGGAGTGAATAATGTTCCTCCTCGTGCCATAAATAACTTTTTAAAACAAGCAGAGACATTTCAGGAGTGTTAACCGTGTGTGTGTCTCGTCCTCCCAGGCCTGGTGTGTGTAGTGAAGCCGGAAGGCGTGCCCCAGCTTTGTCAGACCGATGAGATCGGCGAGCTCTGCGTTTGCTCCATCGCCACCGGGACATCGTACTACGGCCTTACGGGCATGACCAAGAACACCTTTGAGGTGAGGCGAAGTGAAGACATGAACCCAAACACTAAAAGCCAAAATAAAAAAATACTGTGATGCTGTAATGTCCTCTGCAGGTTTACCCGGTGAGCTCCAGCGGAGGGTTGATCAGTGAGTACGCCTTCGTGCGGACTGGCCTGCTGGGCTTCATTGGCCCCGGCGGCCTCGTCTTCATCACAGGCAAGATGGACGGGCTCATCATGGTGAGCGGGCGGAGGCACAATGCCGACGACATCGTTGCCACTGCACTCGCGGTGGAGCCAATGAAATTCGTCTACAGGGGCAGGTGAGTGTGACGTGGGTGGGGTTTGAGGGTCACAATAGACTGTATATAAAAGATGAACGTAGGTCCATCCCTCGCCTGTTGTTTCAAAACAACAAGATGTCCACAGTGCACACGCTCAGCTTCACAATTCAAACAGAAGGTGTCATGGTGGCCATCTTTTACCTACAGTCTGTGGTCGTCGCCATGAGGTCATCATAACTGTTCATTAACTAGAATGGCTCCTGACAGAAATCAGAGGTTTCCAGCAGTTTGTGACCTTTTAGTTCGACCACCAAAAGATGTTTTATGTGTATATAAAATGTTAATGACGGACAGTTCTGATTAATAACAGTAAATTTGTTTTTGGAAAAGAAACAAACCTGAAAACAATTTAGCTCCAGGTTTTAAAATGTTAAAACACAAAGACTAAAGTTTGCTGGACTTGAAAATGTAATATTGCAGTCACACATTTCTCAAATGTCACATGACTCGACCGCCAGCGAATCGGTTTTTATTTTATGATCTTTTTTATCATCGTTCCTATCGACAGAAGCTGAAAACCAGCGAGCTGTCCGACATCGGTACGCTCGCTGATAAATGCTGATACGCTGATAAATGAGCAATGCCATCGCTCATAATAAATCTAATAAAGTAGAGCAATAGTGGATGAATCCAGAAACAGTAATAGAGTGAAGTTTAATTGTGTCCACGGCCACCGAGCAGGAAATTCATCTTTTACCTGACAGCCTCTGATGACGTTTCCCGGAGCTATTTAAAGTTTCTACTCAGGGAGGAAGCAGCTGCAGAAAGAGTCTCAGGAAACATGAAGAAGAAAGTCCATCAGCTTTCATTATATTTATACCAGCATCCATGTTTGCCTTTAGTTTCTGCTTTTGGGCTTCATTACAGGAAAAACGAAGACGACAGAGAAACAAAGAAGAAAATATGTAAAGAGAGGAAATATGCAGTGAAACAAGGAAAGGAAGCAAAGGATGGAATAAGGATGCAGGAAATAAGGTGACAAGGGTAGAAAAGGTGATATGCAAAAAAGAAGGAAGAAATCAAGAAAAGGACATGCAGCGAAACAGGGAGGTAAGAAGGAGTCATGGAAAAAATATTTAGACATTTAGAAATAAAGGAAACAAAAATTTTTAAAAGTATATAAATAAGGATGAAATGAAGGAAATGAGGAAAAGGAAAAATAAGGAAAAAGCAAATGGATGAAATGAAGAAACAAGTACAAGGAACAGAATGAGCAAATAAGGGTGATAAGGAAGCAAGCTAGTTATAAGGGCAGAAAGAAGGACACATGAAAAGCCAAGGAGAAATGAAACAGACAAAGGAAGGAAGGAAGGGAAATAAAGAAGAGCAACGAGGAGGAAGAGGTTATGAAACAAGGAAAGCAAATGAAGAAGGATCCATGGAAAAAAATGAAATTGACAAACAAAGGAAAGAACGAAGACTTGGGAACCCACCTGCATCAAACAGTCCATCTGCAGCGAGCTCTCAGAGTTTCTCAGTGACCACTGCTGCGCTCCTCTTATGTGACATCACACACTCGCAGCGTGAAAAAACTAAAGGAAACACATTTTTCAAGTCTGGACACCAATCCAGACAATCCATCATACGCTGTACTTTATTTATCCTTTGTGAAATAACTGTCACAAACAACATGAACCGACCAGTCAACCAATAAATAACAGAATGGAAAAAATAGATGATAAAACACGTCAGAATAGCTTAATAAAATAAAACTGCTCTACTAGAAAGAGCTCAATAAATAGAACAAAATAAAAGACAAAGAAAGCAGCTTGATGGGTAAAAAAAGCTGAATAGAATTGTGCTTTATAAAATAAAATCAGTTGAAATGATCAACACAGTGGAATAAAACATTCGTCATGTAATAGAAAACAAACAGGTTGGTGTTGCTGTCCCCGTCTGTGCAGGATAGCTGTGTTCTCTGTGACGGTGCTGAGAGATGAGAGGATCGTGGTGGTGGCCGAGCAGAGACCCGACTCCACGGAGGAGGACAGCTTCCAGTGGATGAGCCGCGTACTGCAGGTGCTTTCCCTGCACGTTCAAATGCAGCCTTATTGCATTTAGATCAAGTCTTATTTGAAATGTCGTTTTCTTGCGGTTATGTTGGACACTGTGCAGGACAATTGGATCGTGTACTGTGTTTGGTGCGTCTGACTCCACTTAGATATGTGTGTATTGTGTTAGACTACTCTCAGCAAAGCGAGTTACCCCATGGGGACGTTAAATCCCATCTACAGTCTGACCAAACTCCCTCATGACTCTCAGGCCATAGACAGCATCCACGGGGTGGGCGTCTTCTGTCTGGCTCTGGTGCCGGCCAACACCCTTCCCAAGACTCCTCTGGGCGGCATCCACCTGTCGGAGATCAAGCAGCTGTACCTGGAGGGGGGGCTGCACCCCTGCAATGTCCTGATGTGCCCCCACACCTGTGTCACCAACCTGCCCAAACCGCGGCAGAAACAGCCAGGTGGGTGAGGGTCCGCTCAGGGTTTTTAGGTGGTAACCTTGTGGGTAGTTGTAGTTGTTGATGTGCTGATTGTGTCTGTGTGTGGCAGAGATCGGTCCCGCCTCTGTGATGGTGGGAAATCTGGTGTCAGGGAAGAGAATCGCTCAGGCCAGCGGCAGAGACCTGGGACAGACTGATGATAACGACCAGGTGAGGCAAACAGCTGCGTGACAAAGTCTCAGCTCCAGAAATAACATCACAACTCAATTTAAATCAAGCTCTGCCCAAAAAAAGGTAACTTTATGTTGAAAAGCCGAGAGATCAGAAAATCATTGAGTAAGCGACAAGTTGACTGACAGGAAGAGTAATCTGCTACACTTCTGATAAACTATTAATAATTTAGTCAAGCAAAACCATCAAAATCTCTTTGACTCCATCGTCTAGAACATTTTTCTGCTCTTCTATGTTTGACATCACATCAAACAGAATATTCTGTATGAAAAGTCGTGTCAAGACTTCACCTTCACTTATGACTCAGTAAACTCTGATGGAAGTTGTTCAGTCCTCCATAAATATTTGCCAAACTAATTGTCTGCATAGTCAAATAACCACAAACACACAGACACTTGGACTCATGCACACTTTGTCAGGTACACACAGCTTCTGGGCTGGAGCCTCTTTTATCTTACATTAAACAAGGTGCTGCAATCCTGCTGCATCAGCAAAGATCAGAAGATGGGTACACTGCCCATGTCATAATAGCATGGGCATGGTCAGCAACAGTACTCTGGTAGGCTGTGATGTTTAATTGATACTCAGTTGATACTAAGAGTCCCAAAGTGTGCAAAGAAAATCTCCCCCACAACATTACACCAAACCAAACAAGCCAGGATGGCTGCCTTTGTGTTTTTGTACCAGATTCATCAGACCGGGCAACGTTTGTCCAGTCTTCTGTTGCCACTTTTGGTGACTGAGTATGAGCTGCAGGGGCACCCAGTGTGGTCTTTTGTTGCTGCAGCTCATTTTCAGAGATGCTCTTCTGCAGATATTGCTGTGACGATGGGTTATCTGAGTTAGTGTTGCCTTCCTGTCAGCTGCAAGGCAACACGGCATTTTCACAAAGAAACCTGCCACTCACTGGATATTCTCTCTCTTTCGGCTCATTCTCTGTAAACCCAAGAGAGGGATGTGGAAAAATACCGGCAGATCAGCTGCTTCTGAAATCCTCAGATAAGACACTTAAAAACCTTTCTTCCCCCGTGATGCTCAGTTTGAACTTCAGCAGGTCGGCGTTTTTGTGACTCCTCTATACTCTGTATCCTCCCTCTCATGGGTGAATACGGTGGTATGAGGTTTTGGAAGCTGATAAAAATACATTTAAAAAAAATCTATTATACAGTATTTTTAGGTAATTAAAATGTTGCTTAAAGTTTTAATCTTGCTGAAAAGAGAAGTTGCTCCTCTTTACTTTAATAGAAATATTTTGATGTCTTGTTTTTAGGAAATCTGCTGAAATGTTAATGAGCAGCTACAGAACTGGGAGAAGTTGCAAATTTGACATTTTCTGAAAACAACACATCTAGAAAAAACTGTTTTTATGAAAAGGACAAATTGATTTATGAACATAAACTGACAATTAACTTTCTGAATAGGCCGCCTACTTTTTCAACTGCCTGATGGAGTCAGATTTTCAGCATCATTCAAGTCAGTCAGTCTGCATCAGATTATATTTAACTGCCTGTAAATATAATCTTCAGATGCAGTTTTTTGTTTTTTTCACCTGCTTTGAAATTTCACCGCCTGTGATATTGATTAAACTGCTTTAATGTGCCGGACAGAAGGCAGAGACTCAGCAGTAAAAAGCAGTAAGTGGTGAGTAAGCACACGTTGACATGGAGTTCCCTCGATGCTAAAAACTTTTTGTACATGCGCTGCACTCCCTCTATGCTATCAGCTCTGTTTCAGTTTAATGTCTCTTGTCTGCTTTGCAGTTTTATCTCAAAATGCTGATGTTGCAATAATTGAAATGATGGGAGAAATGTATCATTTTATTCTCCTTGTAAACGTGTTTGATGCCCCTCTGCTGTTTTTTGAATTACATCAGCAACTTGAACTGTTTACAGAAATCAGATCACACACACACGCACGCACGCACACACACACACACGCACACACACACACACACACACAGATTAAACTGTCAAAGTGTGCGTAAAAGAAGTGTTTATTTCTGTTTTGCAGTTTCTG